TCGAAGATCTTCGATCTTCGGCTCCTTCGGCCCCTTCGGCTCCTTCGGCTCCGGCAAGGAAGGGTTCCTGGATGGATGCCATTGAAAAGTACGAGGAGGCTTTGTTGAAGCTCACATTGGATAGCAATCACTTGGTTTGGTCTTCAAAGGCTGCAAGCTTGGTTCACTACTGCTATAGCTCCTTGGAATTCAAGGTTGCTTGAGCTGCTTGAGCTCGATGGGTTGCTTGGCATTCCAAGGCACTGATCCTGGATGGAGGAAGAACCAACGTGGAATTGACGATGATGTTTTGGTGTTGGGCATTGAGCTGAGAGCGAGAGTTGCGAGACCAAGAGACGTTCAAAACAGACAATGAAGGAATCCAAAGAAGGCCTAAGGAAAATAGAATGGACAGTTTTTCAAAGCTGGTGCAGAAATTCAAAGGCTGACGCCTAACAGCCGGGCGCCGGCCCACTTGGGTCTGTGGGGCGTATGTCACGCCTATGTTGGCCTTGGTGGGGCCTATATTGAGCAAAGTTAAGCTATTTGGTGCGCATCTTGGCCCTAGGTTGGGCCAAGTGGGGCCCATGTGGTGTATGTTGGGCACATCTTGGGCCCATGTTGAGCCTCTGTTGGGCCTATGTTGGCCTACGTTAGGCCTATGTTGGCCTAGGTTGGGCCTATGTTGGCGTCTGTTGGCCCCAAGTTAGCCTATGTTGGCCCTATGTTGAGCCATCTTGGAGGCTATGTTGGGCATATGTTGGGGATATGTTGGCTATCTTGGGCCTATGTTGGGGATATGTTAGGCGATTTATGTTGAAAAAAACTTCCGATACAACTTTTTACGATTTTTCCTTCCCGCAAACCAAAAACACTGGAAAAACCTACGTTTTTTGACATCGCCAAGCTGAAATTCTCGGCTGCCGAGGCGCCCGAAACCCTGTAAAACACAGTGTTTTTATACCTCACACACACGATACATTGTAAATTACAGGGGCATCAGTGACCCGGTAGTGACGACGGGGTCCGCCCGTTTTGGGACCGAGGGTCGGCGGCAGGGGGCGCGCCCGGATTTATGAGGCTTACGCCTGACAGCCGGGCGCCGGCCTATTTGGGTTTGGGTATGTGCGGGGCTGGGTCCTCTCTGTCTCTCTGTCTCTCTCTCCCTCTCTCTCTCTCTCTCTCTCTCTCTCTCTCTCTCTTTTTGAGACTTGGTGGGGCCTATATTGAGCAAAGTTAAGCTATCTGGTGCGCATCTTGGCCCTAGGTTGGGCCAAGTTGCGCCCATGTGGTCTATGTTGGGCACATCTTGGGCCCAAGTTGAGCCTATGTTGGGCCTAGGTCGGCCTACGTTAGGCCTATGTTGGCCTAGGTTGGGCCTATGTTCGGCCTATGTTGGCCCCATGTTGGCCTATGTTGGCCCTATGTTGAGCCATCTTGGGGGCTATGTTGGGGATATGTTGGCTATCTTGGGCCTATGTTGGGGATATGTTAGGAAACTTATGTGCCCAACACCCACGAAATGTCGATGAAGCTTGTCCGCGCGGGACGCATAACCGACACCACGGGCACCTGTCGTGGACGCCGAAGGCCACGAAACACTGTAAAAAAACGATGTTTTTGAACATTTTTCGAACATCCAGCGCAAGATGCATATAAATCTGTCGGGCGGATTCGGGCGGGGGTCGACACGGGGTATACACGCGGTCCAACAAAAGGGTCGGCGGCAGGGGCGGCGAGCGTATATAACCTTCGGTTACCAACCGAAGGCCTCCGGCAAGGGAACGTGCGCGTGGCCGGCGCCCGGATTTACCAGGCTACCTACCGCCTGCAGCCGCCGACCCCCAACAAATAGTGGCCTAGGGCGTAGCGCTAGCCTTTGTAAACCTGCCTGACACCTTAGCCATAGCCTTTAGCTTGAGCCTTAAGCCTTACCTTCCCTACTTGAGCGCCCTGGAAGGAATTGACGAGGACCGAGGCGAGCGCATTTCTGACACAGGATGGTACAGCGTCCAGGTGCTGTACACGGCCCTTTTCTGTGCCGGATACACGTTGGATATCGACAACCCCATCCACGCGCCTGCAAGCTTGGAGAACTGCATTGGATGCATCCAAAATTGGCAGAATGCGCACTGGGTGGCTTACACCATGGTTGGGGAAGAGATTTTTCTCTGCGACTCCTTGAAGCCGCGGCCTGAGAAGATATCTGCAGCCGCTCTGGCAGCGACGCAATCGCCATCCGTGCATAGCTGCTCCTGGACACCCCCCGGACGCGCGCCGCGCAGTGTCATGTCGTCGCGCGCGACGCAATCGCCAAAGGGAACACCTGCGGGCAAAAAGGGCGCGGAAGGGAGCTGCTGGGCTAGGATCTCTTGCATGAACCCCGTGATGCTGAGCCTACAGAATATCATTGCCCAAGAGTTTAGACCCAACCCATCACCACCAAAGCAGGTACCCCCGTGATGCTGAGCCCTCCTCCCCATACAGGATATCGTTGCCCAAGAGTTTAGACCCAACCCATCACCACCAAAGCAGGTACCCAAAAAGTCGACTATGAACCCCGTGATGCTGAGCCCTCCATGATGACGATGATGCGTTCCCTACCGACGAGTCCTCGTCTATGTCCCTCTGTCCAGGCACACTCTATCGCCGAGGACCCCTCGCAGACCAAACTGCAAAGGTGGGTTCCACGATAGAGGACGCGCTGTGTCCTGCGCCCCGTGGCGGCGCAGGGCGCTGCCCAGGGTATAGGGTACATTCAAGTGTCACAATTGGGGGCGCAGTGACCACGCCATCCACTTCCCTTGGGGTTGGCGTCGGCCTGGTTGGGGATTCGGGGAGCCAAGATGTCGCCCATATACACCCCCCTGCCAAGGTAGGTTGCTGACGCGTCGCAGCGGTAGGGTGCGGTACGTACTGCGGCCCACGACGGAAGGAGTGCTGTCCCGGCCAGGTGCGTTCCACCGGCGACTAGGCATGAGTACAACAATGGAATAAAATAGGTTAGCAATAGGTTAACCAATTTTTTGGAAAATGTCCCCTGGCGAAGAAGGGTGCTGCCCATGTTGTTGACTAAGTTCTGTCAGAGAGCGTCTCGGAGAAGGGTGCTGCCCATGGTGTTGGCTAAGTTCTGTCAGCAAA